AATTAACATTATAGTGGATGAAAATTTATCCCCTATCTAGATTGTCCATGTGTGCTTTAACGTATCAAAATAATTGAGTGGCTTAATAAAGTAAAGTATGTAGCACATGTTGCAACCTGATCTTGCATGTAAACTGACATGCCTCATGTAACATATTGTGATCTGAAAATATATTATTATTATAAGTTAAGGCTTGCCTCGTGATTCAGTCTGATGATTTCTTGAATGTGTGTCCTATTCAGTTCCAGCATCCTTTCCTGATTTCCTCTTCATCTGAAACTGGTCCGTCCTCCCCCACAGTAGGTTGTTGCTGCTGGTATCCGGCCAACAAATATTGAGTATCTCGCGTATACAATTTTTCATAAATACTTGTACCTTCGTGATGATGGTTGTGGTAGTTCTCCAATTTTCAGCTCCGTACAGTAGAACTGTCTTGACGTTCGTGTTGAAGATTCTGACTTTGATGTTGGTTGGCAATTGTTCTGAGTTCTATATGTTCTTCGATTGTAGAAGTGCTGCCCTTGCTTTGCCAATCCTCGCATTTACGTCTGCGTTGGATCCTCCTTGTTCATCAATGATACTTCCCGGGTACGTGAAAGATTCTATATCTTTCAGAGCTTCTCCATCAAGTGTGGTTGGGTTGGTGTTCTCTGTGTTGTATTTCAGGATCTTGCTGTTTCCCTTGTGTATGTTGAGGCATACTGCTTCAGAGGCTGTTGCTACACTAGTTGTCTTCATCTGCACTGGTTCGTGTGTATGGAATAGAAGGGCCAGGTTGTTTGTGAAGTCCAAATTCTCTAATTGATCATGAGCTGTTTATTATATTCCGAGCTCTCCCTCATATGTAGAGGTCTTCATTATTCAGTCGACCACCAGAAGAAAGAGGAAGGGAGAGAGTATGTAATGTTGTCTGAAATCTGCCTACACTGAGCACTCATCTTTCAACTGTCATACATGCACGCTCTTCACCATTCTTCTGAGTTTTTTGTGATGCCAATATGTTTAATCTGGTTTTCTGTACTGTAATCTGATGAGACCCTTGTAGGTCTGTGTACACGTTTGTGAGGAAATATAACACGACTTATGGCCATTTCGTTGAAGATGTAGTGGTATTAGTTTCTAACCATACGATTACTGAGGCTACGCATACAATTATTGAAAAGATTTGCACTTATCATACAACACTAAGATTAGGTCAACAATGGTGAACGTAAAAGGAGATAATCGAAATGATATAGATCGGTCAACATTTATAACATTTTGTCTCTTTCAAGCTCAAACTTGTTCTTCAGAAATGCTAAACGTCATTGCTTGCTAATATGTGTACAATAATTTCTTTTCAAAAGGTCACTATGCAAAAATCGCTCTAACGTTATCACATGTGTATAAGTTTATTTTCCTTTTTTCGCCTGCTTTGTATAAGTCTTCGACATTGAATGCGGACCATATTAGTTTAAGGGTGATCTTATCCGCAACGCAACCATGTAAACTTAATGTACCGGTCATCTGTGCGTTCAAGTAACCACAGATTTTGACATTTCAAAATGTATTTTTAATTAAATAACTAGATTATATAGCTAATTTTGATCTTTTTTTATATTTTTATTCGCCACGTTCGACTGCGTTACACTGCACGTCCATTGCATACTGGGATGATATCTCAAGTCATAGTGAGTTTATTCACATAGTTGATTGTTTCCAGATAGACTGTCAGTGCATGATTTTACTGTAGAAAGGTTTATTGTACTATAAACTATGTTTTTATGAACAACTGCTTGTTGTCGTCAGTCGGAAAGCAATATATATATTCTTTGTCTTCTGTTCGGTAAGTTCAATTGGCCTATATTTCGTGTTTTTGTTTTATCGTCTTAATTATGTCCATTTAACTACTTTAAGCAATATGCCTGTGCAAATGAAACAATAACTATGACACTTGCTTAGTTTAGTATTCTTGGTTGTCGTATAATTCAGTTTAGTTGAAAGAATTATGGTATACTTAAGTATAGTGCTTGAAGTCTGTAACGAAACAGATCAGCCTAGTAAGTAGAGTTGCCTGTTTCTGATGAGTATACTGATTCAAATCAGTCTGATTAAAAATAGGAAAAAAGTGCTTTTGGTACTGTTGCTGTCATACATTGTAAGATAGCGATAAGTATGTTTGGTGTTTATTTCTAGATTGTACATCTATCACTGACCATATTTCATGATCACTGTCATTAAACAATTTCCCCAGCAATATCATCGGTAGCAGGATAGCTAAGTATCTGAGCTTTTATTTGCCCGTAGAAGAGCAGTATACAGTCTTAGAAGATGAGTGTTCTGTATTTCAATTAAATGCAGTTGGCTGTGGACAAATGTTAAGAATCTTTTTGACAACTAGGACTTTTAGTTCATCAAACACTAACTCTGCTTGTATGTCTCCCTGTTAAACTAGATGCAGATACATGGTAATACTTAAATGAGAGCAAAATAATAAAAGCATTGAGATACGGTATTGAGTCCATGTTATGCTTTGCACAATAAATAGCTGACCTGACCTAATATTCATGAACTAAAGGTAAATCACAACTGCATAAATTCTTTGCTAAAATACATGTAATTTGGTTATTTAACTATTCCACATTTCTGACTAAATTCATTACTGTTTTCTCATTTAGAATGCAACAGGACTGAGTCTTCACAGATGTTAAGAACTGTTTCGCCCTTAGAACTATGGCCCTATGGATCTGTTTACGGGAGACCCAACTAACAGCAGATTATAAAAAGGATGCTGGATGTCCATTTTAATCTCACAACCACTTCCAGTACTTTTCGGGTTACTTCTTTTACCCTTTCGTTTGGAAAAAACAACAAAAACTGCAGCTTAACATTACAAATGCAACTTTTAGACTGGAACTTGGTTTAAACCTTTGTTTCATATTCGATTCTTAATGAAAGTTCTGGAATAAATTTTTGAACCTAATGCTACTTTGTTTTATCTACTTAATCGTTGCAAGAAACTTGTGATAATCGAGCCTCTCATCACCTAATTCATGTGTTCATGCTTCCGTGTCTATTAGCAGGGGATCACCAAAACCTCCAAGCAGGAACCTAGGTATGTTAACAATAAAAGATCCAGTCGCCTCCCAAATGACTCCTGGGAAGTCGCTTGGACTAGTTCGGCGAGCAGCGAATTCCAGCATTTGACAACTCTTAAGGAGTAGAAGTTGCGTCTACAGTCCATTCTGCTATGTCGTGTCTCTAGTTTCTGGGACTAAGCTCAAATAGGTGTTTAAGAAAATGTCCAGAAGTGTTAAGGATCCTGTAAGTAAATAGGTCACCTCTAAGACGTCTATACTTTAATGAGTAGAGGTTAAGTGATTGGAGGCGCTCTTCATAAGGTGATTTGGTGCATATCTCCGTCACTTTCTTAGGAAACCTACAGGCTCGGGTCCTCTCACAACTTATTCTAGCCACCGTGAGTTGCCACGAAAACTGATGGATGGACACGCGTTACACATCCTAACCGTCCCTGCATCTAATCTCATAGCTTCTTATTCAAATATCATATGATAAGCAAGTAATGCTTCTACCGACACTAATGGAACACGAGTAATTCAAAGGCACCCTGTATGGTACTTTACATTGGTCTACGCACTCACTTAGCTCTTTAGTGGGAATATTACTACAGTCCTGCTAAAAAACCAATGAACCCCCCTACCACCATCAAAACAATAAGTCTGTATTTGCTGCATATAGCAATTTTATTTTTCAGAAGATATAACAGTAAGAATTGGAGTAAAATAACAATATACAACAGATGCACGTGGTACATGTCTTCATCGATCATCTGAAATAGAGAATACGGATATTAGCTTAACATGCTTATTTAGAAAGACTAGTGTTTACTTTGAACTTACTGTGTGAGAAAGTTATACTGGAACTGTGAATAATGTAGGAATCTAGTCTCCCAGGGCGTACGAAGCACTCAAACTGGAAGACAGTTGTCACAAATTAATTCGAATATGAAGTTGAGAATTTGCAAGTACATTTCATCGTAAAGGTGAACATATTAGATAACGGTTGACATCATACCGTAAAAATAACAAATTTGCGAGTGGTGAATTATGGTCTATAAAAAGGTGAGCTTAATAACAGTTAGTTACATTTTTAATCCCTGATCATGACCCTTCGGCTTCCTTTTATGGTCGAAACAGCAAACATACACTACACACTGATAGCAGATTTCCGGCTTTTCAATGTTAAGATTGCTTTAACGCACTACGTAATGCGTACAACCCCTCCATTACTGCTATGTGGCATATTTTTTCATAACAAACCCTCTGCAATAGATTGGTAGCATCTGTGGTTGTCGGAAGCCTGGGTACTTTCGAAAACAATACTGACATCCCCTACTGCTAGGCACTAAGTATTAGTTTGACTCGTTGGTGGGATATTGTTGTCCGCAATACTGAAGAAAATTAAAAACCGGAAATTGTTCCCTTTCATTTTGCCGATAACATCATAAAGGACAGTTAGGAATGAACACGCGGACAGTTAGTTACAGGAGGCAGCAACAGTTATTTCAGCTAAGAAAAAACGAACTTCGGCTTTGGATATCTAGAAAACAAGTCAAAACAAAACCGATTTTTATTTTAAAACATAAGACTAACCAGCTTGACTGAAGAAATACATTGACTAGAGTAGAAGCAGCAAAAACCCAAAAAACAATGCTGATTCGAAGTAAATTTCACACCAACATGTAGAACATTACACTAACTGCGGCATCTTAGCACATTGAAACATTAATTACATAGCTACACAAAAGAAATAGCTAAAAGAAGCACAAAGCGAAGATAGCCGACCGCCATTACGTACAAAGATGGCTGATATAATAATTCCCGCCACATTCTGATTGGTTGCTAAGCTGAAGGGCACATTTACGAAATTGAGTTGCGTTTAATTGCAGCCGTTTTAGCCCATTTACCTATGGCTACTAAAATGTGCGCACATATAAATTATGTCAGGAACGGGCAACAACGGTGGTTCATCTCCCTTGGTTTCTCTTTATCAAGCACTCGAGGAGAAAGAGTTTTTCGGACGAGTACGAAATAATTGATCGAATTATCATACTAATTTAGGCAAATGTACTGTACTCTGTTGTATTAGTTGGAAAAATTTCACCACACATAACTAACAATGAAGTTGGAAGTGAGTACTCACATTAAGACTTGACACAATTCGATAGAATTTTATGAAAAGCTCACATCCAGTTTCATCCCGCCGGACCATATTACAGGTCTCTTGATGGTTTATCCCTATCACGTGATACACATTATTGAGGTATTTCCGCTAATGCCCCCACTGAGTTAGCCAGTCAAGTTTTAGAAGTTTGATGGAAGTTTTACGAGTAATTGCTAAGTCTGAAGAAATCACAGAATCTTACATGAATTGTCACTCTGAACAGATAAATAAGAGTCAGTGTGATGCTCAAGACTATCGACATTTCAGTGAGTTTGATAATGTCATCATCCAAGAAATGTACACAAAAAACTCCTTGGCTCCTACGATTCATAATCATGAAACGTTGAGAATTACCATCTTTAGTGAAGCACAAGCTGCCGATTAGCATTCTCCGACCTACTCTGTACCGAGTCTTTTTTTCTGATTCTATCCAATCGTTATTCATTCTTCTCATGTCTGTCTCCATTTCTTGGCGCAATGTGTTCTTTGGTCTTGATTAAAACCATCTACATTCATATCATATAAATTATCAACCCAGCTATGTAATTTACTACTGTGGATATTGTATCATTTGTATCAATTTGATCTTGCCTGTAAACTGGCATGCCTCATGTAACAATCCGTCATTTGAGAATAAATTATTATTATTATTCTCCTTTGGCTTTGTGAGGGCTTGCCTTGCGACGCAGTTGCGTGCTTTCCTTAATGCGTGTCCTATCTACTCCAGGCGCTTCTTCCTGATGTCTTCTTCCGCTGTTCTCTTCCACAGTAAGTTGTTGCTGGTATTGTCTGGCCAACGGATTAGAAGTATTTTGCGTAGACGACTGTCAATAAACACTTGTATCTTCTGAATGATGGCTTTTGTAATTCTCCAGTTTTCCGCACAATACAGTCGAACTGTCATGCCATTTGTATTGGGAATTCTGACTTTGGTTTTGGTTGACAGTTGTTTTGAGTTCCAGATGTTCTCCAATTGTAAGTATGCTGCTCCTGCTTTGCCGATGCACGCCTTCACATCTGCACCAGATCCGTCGTGTTTATCAATAATACTGTCCAGATATATGAAAGGTTTACATCCTCAAAAAATTCTCTGTCAAATGTGATTCCATTGGTGCATGTTGTGTTGAGTCGGAGGATCTTTTTCCTTTGTGTATGTTGAGACCTACTGCTGCTGGGTCTGCTGCTACACTGGTCGTTTTCCCCTGCATTTGTTGCGTGTGAGACAGAAGAGCCAGATCATTTGCGAAGTCTAGATCGTCCAGCTGCATCCCAGCTGTCACCCCAGATGCTGACGTCTTCATAATTCTCACGTGTATTATTCTAAGTAATGAAAACATAGTAAAAGCGGCAGCAGAATAAAGTTTACTCGCCAATAATCTCATATCGACCTCTAAGCATGCATTCCTGAGGATCAGGTTATGTGATACATGCCTACTCGTCTGCCCAAATGACATACTTAAACAACGTGACAAAAAGCTCTCTGCATCATTACTGTTCTTCACTGTCAAAAGCGCATCTGAAAAGGCCCAATATCAGAGGTTTTCTCATAATTGAAAGTCTTTTGGAACCAGTAACTCACTAAATCCATGTTTTAATCCTTAATCAACCAAATGTAAACAAATACAGTTATCCTAGAAGTATATTGGATACTTTCTTATTTCTCATGTATTTAGACGATGGATGCAAAACCATGAAATATGTTAGACAATATTTATTTACTAATGATTTCAAAGTAGTGTAGTAGTAGTAGTAGTAGTGACACGAGATCGAATCCGCCAGGGAGCACCAGTTCCCTCAAGATTACAGGTACACCTTGCTGACGAGTGCCAAGTAGCACGAAACCCGGGTCCAGGGTTTCCTGTTGACTACCTCCAACCACCATCTAAGTGTACAGCACACATCACCGAAAGTTTAGCTTTTAAAATGTGGCTACTTACTATTTCTCAGTAGACTCAGAATTTCAATTAAATTTCAAAACCACACACAATTCTGGACATAACGTGCGATTTGGAGTAAAGATCTTTTTAAATATAAACCGTTAAAGTACAAGTCAGGTGAAAATTCCGCTTCAGCTCTTATTGTGAATTGCTGAAATATTTACAGAATTTCATCTTTTTTTGTATCAAGAATGTGAAACGAAATAACGTCTTGAAGTTGATCTTCCGTTGCATATTCTGTCAGTAGTCTTCTTTGCTTACTTTGGAGTAATGGTGATCGATTTTGTCTACTGGGTATCCTATTGCTAATAGTGAACTCAAACTCTGTCCTTTGTGCATACTCTCGAAACTGACAAAACTGTTTATTTTTTTTAAACCATTCTTTTTACGGCCCTTATCGAATACATTTAGTACATAAGTATTCAATGATATACACATCTTTAACCTTTATATAATTCATGGGAGTAGTGAGTGGCTGGAGTTTTTTTTTACATGGGCTCATTACCAATATCGGTCCTATTAGAATGATTAAACAAGTTATAATATTAGATTTAGTTATTAGAAATTTCTTTATATGGTTTTGATCGTTCGTTAGGTTAGATGTTTCTAAAACGAGTAAAAGCTTTTTTGAACTTAGTTTGCATCCATTACATCCAGCAGACCTTAAAAAACCAAAATATGTTTACACTTAGGAAGGAATTTTGACTCATTTAGATAACCAAATAGGTTACTTTAACTTCTAATGAAAAAAATTATTCTGTGAGTTGAATGCAATCCTAAACAAACACTCAGTCTTATTACTGATAATACGTGAATGAATTTGATGTGGCTATGAACTAGAAAAGTATATTCAGATCTGTACTTCTAAGTACCACAAATCATCTAGAATGCTTAATACAGGTCTTAACTGTGAAGTTTGTGGCTTATACTAAAATTTGAGTTTTAACAACCATGGTAGGTTACCTACAATTCATGATAATAGGACTTAATAATATTTGAAGTGCAATGTTTTTATCCGGAAGATGAAGTGTGAATACAGGTGTGATTTTCAGTCTTTGATTTATCTAGACTGATTCCTTCAAACGAATGTAAACGATTGAAGTGTATAATCCCTAATTTTTAATTACAATTTAAACGGATCCTTTTTGTTCCATTCACCTTTAGAAAGATAACTCGATGTCGGATTCAGCGTGTAGGTAATTTATTAATCAATAAAATTCTCATCATTGTCATTCAACCGATAAAGTTAAAATAAAATCAGACGCGCATTCATATGGCTTCCTTCGAGAATATAAACAAAATGAAAATAAGAATGTAAGCAAAACATGATAAATTAAGGCTGTTTAATAGAATCCTATTCATTTGCATACACTTTAATGAGCATAAGTTTCTATAAATAAACAAGAATAGGAAATATGATAATAAAAATAATTTAAAAAAATAGATTGTAACTTGACAGCTGTACCTTGAATACAGAAAAATGACATGTTGAAATACATAAAAAGTAAATAAATAATATATTTGTAATATCCCAATGAGTGAAAAAGTTAGATTTTTCGACGTTTCGTGACTTAGTGTAAGTCACTTCTTCAAAAAATAAATAACCAAACATTCTCTGAAGAAGTGACTTACGCTAAATCACGAAACGTCGGAAAATCTAATTTTTTTACTCATTGAGATATTGCAAATATATTATTTATTTATAACAATATACTCGATGCTCAATTTATCCGAAATTATCAAATCAAACCTTGGTAATAATACCTATTTAAATAATAGTTTTGGAATGTTTAAGTGAAAAAGTGAATTATTTAATGCATCAAAAATAGCCAAGAATATAAAGAAATGAAAAAATCTACAAGATGTCAACTGAACACTGAATTTCAAACAAAGATTTAAGAATTAATGAACTTAAATTATGTCACTATAGTAAATGATAACTATTATTTCTCATTCCTGAAAATTAAAATCATTATATAATCACTTTATTACTATTGAATCCCTTTAATGAGAAAGAGAGAATAAGGTTGTATCGCTTCTCGTATTTTGTTCAAATCTTGGAGCCCTTATCAAACAGAGGTAAGATAAAAAATATTTTGAAACTAATAGAACTCCAACCATTAAATTAAAGAAAGATATATTCAGAATAGATATGCAATCAAGTTAGAAAACTCTTAAGTGTTTAAAAAAATACAAAGTTTAGCCGAATCTCCACTGGCTATGATTCTGAGTTATGTCGATTAACATTAAAAAGCAGAGTTACACTGTTTTTAGGACTGAACTTTGGAAGTTGTTAAAATGTACTTATCTAACATAACTATACCTTGCACCATATAAGTGAAGCGAAATAGTGAGATGAAAAAATCTTTTTGAGACTTACTGCTGGTTTTAAAACATAATAAAATTGTTTGATTGTTTACAATTTGAATATTAATCTCAATTAAAAATAGTTCAATTTATGTAATGCACATTAATTCTGGAAATGTAAACTACTGTGCTCATTCAATTCAGTGTTTAATAGTTATGTACTTACAAAGTAAAATACATCATATTGATAGATTTCTGAGATTTTTCACTATAACTAGACTGCTCAAATAATTTTTTTTAAGTGTGAAGGTTTTATTTAATAAAGTAATGTTAGACAAAATAATTGTTATCAAATACCTTGTGAATCATAGATTGTACTCGTTAATTTGTATAAGACTAAAAGTGAACACTGGCAACTAATGGATAATTGAGTGAGCCTTACCAATTATATATTCGCGATTTCCTAATCTCCAAATTTGTTTATCCGACAGTTAATCAATTAGTGTTATGTATTATAACTAGCTTAGCAGTAAAACCCAGTACCGTATTACCGATTTTATCTATATAACCATCATTTGTAAGGTTAGTCGAAAAAACAACCCAGTGCTCATCTAAATATAAACTTAGAATGCCCATAAGGAAATATGTTGTAAAAACATTCCTCTCGATGAGCACTAACGTGTGCTTTAGTAACTCAGTGATGACCATACTTTATGTACTTAAAAAAGGAGAAAAAAATGGGAATGATACGAGATAGTATATAATCATTTTTTGAAGGAAGAGCCTAGATTTACTGCTATTATAAAATCATACTACTTAAGTATTGATAACTTATTTAAAATGTAAATCTTTGATAGATTTTCACTAATAATTACTGTTTCCAAAATTTATATGAATAAAATGTGTGTTGATATTAGTTGTTGGAATTTAAACTGAGATGTATACATGAATTGTATATATACATCAGTCGCATAAATACACTGTGTGTGTTCCAGAAGGCGATGGAACTACTGCAGAGAATAGTGCTTCATGATAGTAAGGATGTGAATATTATGGGATAGTGTTATTTAATGAA